ATGACCTCCAAGGTCCCTTCCAACTTTATTATTATATTATAACAATACAGAAATTGTGATTATTCAAAAACAATATATCACTGTTTACTTTAGTGTAAACTGAGCCTTTCCGTTATATTTATTTGGTTTAATTTACCTGTCTTTTTAGTCTCACAACCTTGTCTTTACACCCTTTAAAAAATCTTTATAATTTAACCATATACATACCCATAGGAGAATATACGGGTTGCTTTCCATCTAGTCATCAGCGCTGCAAAGAGACCCATAACTAAAGCTGAACAGTCAAAAAGCATGTGAAACCCATCTGAAATTAATCCTAGACTATTGGTCCATACACCATAAAATAATTCTATAAATGTAAAAGCCTAAAAAAAAAAAGTAAAAATTTAATTTGTCTTTGAAAATCAAGCACATTTTAGTGTTACATATCTAAATTAGAAAAATTCATACCTAGTGGTAAAAATATATAAAAAAATATGTTCTACTCTACAAAGTATAATCTGGAAGAAAATTATATTCTGAATAAGCTTTTCAAATGTTTGTTTTTATAAAAGAAAAAAATATATCCAAGAGTGATTTCTGTTAACAACTATTAAAACAAGGATGCAGAAAAAGGTTTCAGTCCTTATCTTTTGAGCCGTGATGGTGCAGTGGTTAGAATGCAGTATTGCAGGCTAATTCTGCCCACAGCCAAGAGTGTGATCCTGACTGGCTGAAGGATGACTCAGCTTTCCATCCTTCCAAGGTTGGTAAAATAAGGGCCCAGATTGTTGGGGGCAATATGCTGACATTTGTAAACTTCTCATAGAGTGCTGTAAAGCACTATGGAGTGGTATATAAGTCTAAGTGCTATTGCTATTGTCTTTTGCCTTTTAGTAATTTATCTAGCTTTGATAAGAGTAAAACAATCCACTGATCCATTATTTCTTTTCACCGTGACAATTTTATGCCTAAACATTTAAAATGCACAGTGTAAGACAGGATCAAAAAAGTTTTTAACAACGCTTTTAACGATGGTTGGGTAATGTGGCCAAGAGAACAGCTAAGAGAACAAAATACCAACCTATTTTCAAGAGGAAACAAAGTAAATGCTAACTCCAAGTCAATCAAGTCTACACAATGGGATGGAATTCCTTTTTATACAGTTTTGGCAGTTGCAATTTTTGGGTAAGACAAGATATTTTGGACTTTGGGGACAAAGCTTGGATGAA